CTTGTTACCCAGGCTGGAGTGCAATGGCGCGATCTTGGCTCACCGCAACCTCCGCCTCCTGGGTTCAAGCAATTCTCCTGCCTCAGCCTCCTAAGTAGCTGGGACTACAGGCACGCGCCACCATGCCCAGCTCATTTTTTGTAGTTTTAGTAGAGACGGGGTTTCACCATGTTGACCAGGATGGTCTCGATCTCTTGACCTCGTGATCCACCAGCCTCGGTCTCCCAAAGTGCTGGGATTACAGGCTTGAGCCACTGCACTTTGTCTAGTTTCTTAAAGGGAAAACAAGCATCTGACTGGAGATCTTTCTTGTCAAATATAAAAAATGTACGCCCGAAATTTATCTCTGTGTACTGCTTTATCTGCATCCACAAATTTCTCTATTCTTGTGTTGTTTTGTTTTCATTCACTTCAAAATATCTCATTTGAGAATTATTCTTTCACCCACGGGTTAATTAGGAATGTATAACTTATAGTTCTTTTGTATTTCTCCAAATAAATTTATGTTTACTGATTTCTGGTATAATTTCTCTGTGGCTCGAGATTATCCTCTGTGTAATTTCTTTCTTCTATGTTTGTGAAGATTTGTCTTACAGCCCAGAATGTAGTCTGTTTTGATGATTTTCCATGTGCATTTGAGAAGAATGTGAATTCAGCTGCTGAATACATCCTGTCTTCAGGTTTAAAGGCGTCGTTATCGCAAGTGCTACTTTGTCTTATCTCTTCTGCTTGAGTATTGGGCCTACAGTATATTCTTGCCTCTGCTCTTATTTCTGCATTTCTTTTTTTTTCTTTTTTCCTTCCCATAGCTGCTATGAGTTCATGTCAGTGCCCTAAAACAACTTGTTATTCTTGCCCTTTCAGATTAAGACATTTGTTATATAAATAAGATAAAAATTTGGTTCTAGGCAGAATTTTGGCAGTGGCTGCTGTTAAAATCTCCTAGTGTATCCCTAGAATGAAACTTTCTCAGGATTCTTCATGGAAGGAAACATATGAGAGCATGCAGATCCCCTGTATCTATGGCAGGGGAAAATTAGCTCCCTGCTCAGCCTCCATGGAACCACCAGGAGTGTATCGCTTTGGTTTGGCCTGACCATGGGAAATACCAAAAGTGTTTCCTGTTCTGTTAGACTACCATTTTCTCAGACCTCTAGCTGGAAGGAGCAGGCTTTTCTTTGTGTCTGTGCCTGTCAGTGCAGAATTTCAGGTTTCTACAGCACCCATCTCGTATATAGAATAGCCTGGGAATTCTCCACTATGTCATTTCTTGAGTCCCAAAGTCTACTTTCTTTCCATTTTGTAGTCTTTATGTATTTGTATGTTTGTTTTTTGCCTAAGGATTTTTAATTGTAAGAGGGAAGACATGGGAGGAAAGGGGCTACTTTGCCTTGACTGGCGCTGGAAATAATTCCTGTTTATAAACAGCATGGCTGAGGAGAGAATCTGTCTGTGTACATGAATTATTTAATCTTTGGAAACATGACAGAAACAATAGAATAAAATACATAACAAAACATGGACTGGGCACAGTGGCTCATGCCTGTAATCCCAGCACTTTGGGAGGTCAAGGTGGGAGGATCATTTGAGCTCAGGAGTTTAAGATCAGCCTGGCCAATATAGTGAAACCCCATCTCTAGCAAAAATACAAAAAAATAATTAGCTGAGCATGGTGGTATACCCCTGTACTCCCACCTAGTAGGGAGGCTGAAGTGGGAGGATTGCTTGAGCCTAGGAGTTCGAGGCTGCAGTGAGCTATGCTGTCGCCACTGCACTCCAGTCTGGGTGACAGAGCAATACCATGTCTCAAAAACCAAAACCAAAACATGAGTATAAGTTCTTCTCCATGAGAAATGTAAGATTTATAGTATGTTTCAATTTTTCTCATTTTAGGACATTTTAAAGTTGATGATCACATCAAAGGGATCTGGGAAAAACAAGAAAAACCTCTGTGGAAAGAGATATTCATTGATGATGCTGATGAAACATTGAGTAAAGAAGGACAGAAAATTTTAGAAAAAACATTTGATCTGGAAATAGCTCCAGAATTTTCAGAAAAAATACCCTGTAAATGTGACTCACATAGAATGAATTTGCCAGTTGCCTCTGAATTAATTATAAGTGAAAGAAAATATTCAAGAAGGAAGGCTAAATACATGAATGTATGTGAGAAATTGCAGCTTGATATTAAGTGTGAGAAAGCTGATCCTGGAGAAAAATCTTATGAACATGGTGAAAATGTGAAAACTTGCAGTTATAAGAAAGATCAGCATTGGAAATTTCAAATTTTCGAGAGATCTTTTGAATGTGATGGATCTGGACAAGATTTATATAATAAGACAATTTGTATTACACCTGAGAGTTTTCCAACAGGAGAAAAGTCCTGTAAGGATGATAAATTTAGAAAACACTTTGATGAAACCACTTTATTTAACTACATGAGAACTGACACAAGGGGAAAATTCTCTGATCTTAATGAATATGGGACATCCTGTGACAAAACCACCATTGTTGAATACAATAAAGTTCACATGGCTATGACACACTATGAAGGTAATGAAAGGGGGATTCATTTCAGTAGGAGGTCACCCCTAACTCAATCTCGGAGAACTATTTCAGGACAGAGTGCTTTTGAAAGCAATAAATGTGAAGAAAATTTTAGCCAGCGCTTAGCCCAGGTAGTACATCAGAAAACACAAACTGGAGATAAATTTAGTGAATATAATGAATGTTCAAATACCCTCTACCAGAAATTAGACTTTACAGAACATCAGAGAATTCACACAGAAGAGAAATTCCACCTTTCCAATGAACATGGGAAATGCAGAAAATCCTTTTACCAGAAAGCACACCTCATTCAGCATCAGAGGACCCATTCAGGAGAGAAACCTTACCAATATCAGGAATTTGGGAAATCCTTTTGTTCAAGTTCACACTCTATTCAGCATCCTGGAACTTATGTGGGATTGAAACTTTATGAATGTAATGAATGTGGGAAAACTTTCTGTCAGAATTCAAACCTTAGTAAACATTTGAGAATTCATGTAAAAGAGAAACTTTGTGATAACAATGGCTGTGGGAGGTCTTACAAGTCACCCCTCATAGGACACCAGAAAACAGAGGCAGAGATGAAACTCTGTGATGGCAGTGAATATGGGAAGACATCACATCTCAAAGGACATCAGAGAATTCTCATTGGGGAAAAACCCTATGAATGTATCGAATGTGGGAAAACTTACTCCAAGACATCACATCTCAGAGCACATCAGAGAATTCACACAGGTGAAAAACCCTACGAATGTGCTGAATGTGAGAAAACTTTCTCTCACAAGACACACCTCAGTGTACATCAGAGAGTTCATATAGGGGAGAAACCCTATGAATGTAATGACTGTGGGAAATCTTTTACCTATAACTCAGCCCTGAGAACACATCAAAGAATTCATACAGGTGAGAAGCCCTATGAATGCAGTGACTGTGAAAAAACTTTTGCCCATAATTCATCCCTCAGAGCACATCATAGAATTCACACGGGGGAGAAACCTTATGAATGTCATGAATGTGGAAGGTCTTTTGCCCATATTTCTGTTCTCAAGGCACATCAAAGAATTCATACAGGGGAGAAACCCTATGAATGTAACGAATGTGGGAGATCTTTCACCTACAATTCAGCCCTGAGGGCACATCAGAGAATTCACACAGGTAGAAAACCCTATGAATGTAGTGACTGTGAGAAAACTTTTGCCCATAATTCAGCCCTCAAAATACATCAGAGAATTCACACAGGGGCAAAACCCTATGAATGTAATGAATGTGAGAAAACGTTTGCCCATAATTCAGCCCTTAGAGCACATCAGAACATCCACACAGGGAAGAAGCTCTATGAATGTAATGAATGTGGGAAAACCTTTTTCCAGAAGACACGCCTCAGTACACATCGGAGAATTCACACTGGGGAGAAACCCTATGAATGTAACAAGTGTGGGAAAACTTTCTCCCAGAAATCATACCTCAGTGGACATGAGAGAATTCACACAGGGGAAAAACCCTATGAATGTAACATATGTGGGAAAACTTTTGTGTATAAGGCAGCCCTCATAGTGCATCAAAGAATTCACACAGGGGAGAAGCCCTATGAATGTAATGAATGTGGGAAAACTTTCTCCCAAAGAACACACCTCTGTGCACATCAGAGAATTCATACCGGGGAAAAACCCTATGAATGTAATGAATGTGGGAAAACGTTTGCTGATAATTCAGCCCTCAGGGCACATCATAGAATTCACACAGGGGAGAAACCCTATGAATGTAATGAATGTGGGAAGACCTTCTCCAAGACATCACATCTAAGAGCACATCTTAGAACTCGCTCAGGGGAGAAACCCTATGAATGTAGTGAATGTGGCAAAACCTTCTCTGAGAAATCGTATGTTAGTGCACATCAGAGAGTTCATACAGGGGAGAAACCCTACGAATGTAACGTATGTGGGAAGCCATTTGCCCATAATTCAACCCTCAGAGTACATCAAAGAATTCACACAGGGGAGAAATCCTATGAATGTCATGATTGTGGGAAAACGTTCTCCCAGAAATCACACCTTTGTGCACACCAGAGAATTCACACAGGGGAGAAGCCCTATGAGTGTAATGAATGTGGGAAGGCTTTTGCCCAAAATTCAACTCTCAGAGTACACCAGAGAATTCACACAGGGGAGAAACCCTATGAATGTGGTGAATGTGGGAAAACTTTTGTCCGTAAGGCAGCTCTTAGGGTACATCACACCAGAATGCATACTAGAGAGAAAACCCTAGCATATAATGAATTTGGGAAGTCCTGAAGGAACTCATACCTTACTACATAACATGCAGTACAGAAATTCATGTCACAGAAATTCATGTCACATGGGCTGGAAAGTAGTTTCCCTTATTTCATTTTCCATTAGGCTCATAGCTTGTGGAAAAATCCCAGTATGCCATTCATCCAGGTAGGACTGACCATGGAATGTGGTACTAATGATACATATTACATTTAATCTTGGCCCTTAAAAACGCCTCACGGTCTTCCTGGTGGATAAGATGGATTGGAGGCTATTTGTGCAGCAAACTCGGGTCCTGTGTGTTGAAAACCGTACAGCACAGGTAATGGAAGCTAGAATCTGAAAAACTGGAACAGAATTCACTTCTGGGTCTTCACCAGGGTTTTGTTTTTGTTATTTTAAAGCAAGAATTAAGTTTATAGTCTGTTAAGCTCTTATAAGTTTGGCTTATTAGTTAAATGCACATAGTTTAGCCTAAACTTTCTGTAAAACTGAGATGAAACCTTATGAATATAATCAGTTTTAGAAAAACTGTAATCAGTTTATTGTGCATCAGAGACTTCACATGAAGAAGAAAACTTATCAACATCCACTATGATCAGGAGCCTTCATTAAAAATCAGAAATTTTAGGGAAAAACACAAAAGGCTTCACAAAGTTGAACTGCATTAAACATCAAATAATTATAATAAAATTTCATATTTTGAATAAATGACATTTTTCCTAGGTATTTTTTTCTGAGGATGTATGCCAGTTTTAGAATTGGAGATAAAATATTCACCTAGAACTGACTTACCAAAGCTTTTGTTTTGTAATATCAAAAATTTTATAGAACATATATAAGAATATTTACCTGTAGACAAACTCACTGTAGAATGTGAAGTTAAAAATGGAATAATTTGAATTCTGTGGAGAATACGAATAAATGTGAATAGTCTGAGCTATGTGGAACATCTTTGAGTCTGTATATAAACGTTATATAAACTCACTGGTGAGTTCTAGTGGGCACGAAGAGCCAAACCTGCACTGGGCCTGTCCACTTCCTTTTCTGAGTGACTGTATCCTCTGATGGCTTCCCTAAACTTGATGCTGTTAGATTTTGGCCTGCCTGCTATGTCTGTATATTAATTAGTCTAGTTCTAAAACTAGTCTTGCCTAGTTTTACTAGGACCTTGGAGATCACTGAGATTTCCCCAACCACGCTGTGTGTATGTGTGTTAATCGGGATGGGAGTGGGGCAGGGTGATTCTTACATACTTTTTTTTTTTTTTTTTTTTTTCTTTTATTCTACTGATTCATTTTCCACAGAGCAATTATAAAGTAAGTGTGTCCTCTCCTCCACTGTATGCATATAGTCTTGGCATCCTGTTTGGAATATTTTCTTCCAACATCATGATGCCTACTCACACTGCATTGCAAATCGGTGGTATTTCTGCCAAACTAAGACAGCAGGTTTGGATCGGAATGAAAGGCCTACTTGGTCCTAGAAGTACAGTCCTGGTACAAAAGAGCAGACACTTTCAGTAAGACAATACAGTGTGACATAATTTTAGTCAAGAAAGCATTTAGTTAATGTGCCATCATTTTAGCCTACAGTTTGATGAGCACAGAAAAGAAAGTAGACAAAATCATTTTTAAAACCCAGACCAGTAACAATTTCTCTCAGCCCTGGGCATGTTGCTTTCTGCAGGTTTGATCTGGTAGGTTGAACATGAAGACAGTAAATCAGTTGACTTGAGAAAAATGTCTCTAATTCCCATCCCATGTTATATTGAGGAAGGATGTGTGAGGGAGAATGGTGGCAACTTTAGAATTAGTTAGAGGACAAGTATTTCCTTGACACTGTTGTTAACAGTTAAATGAGTGGCATCACTGCAAAAATGAGCCATGATTAAGAGCCCACCTTTGGACGAGGACTCAGACACTGAGGGAAGACACATGAGCTTTGGGCACCTCATGAAAAGAAAGGATGATGAAGGAGTTGGTCTGAGACTGGCCCTGGCACTGCTTACTTTCCTCAGGTACTTATTACTCTTGGCAGAAAGGTGCCATCTGTTATGGAAACATGTTTCCTTTTTTCTTCTTTGTCTCTGACACCATGATGCTACTTGAGCTTACTGCCCAGTGCCCAAGGGAAATGAGGGCCAAATCATGTCTTTCTACATGCTTAATTTTCAGAAAAGTATAGATGAAAAGGCATGCTCTTTTTAAAAAAAATTAATTTGCGAATATGTTTACAGAAAAATTACAATGATAGTTTGTATATACTCCTCATCCCCTTTCCCCATTAACATATTACTATGGTATGTTTTTATAACTACGAAACATTGATAACATTATTAAACAGACACATTTTGTTTTTTCAGATTTCACTAGTTTTTCCCTATTGTGCTTTTCTATTTCATGATCATGTTGGAGCTCAGAAAAGGATAACCTAAAGTGAAGGCCTCATAAGCTACATTTTCTCTGTCAGTTATGGACAGGTAACTCCCTAGGCAGCAAAACAAGTGACACCTTGAGAAATGGCCAAAAGGCCTAAGACTACGAAACTGCCACATTACCAAAAAATGTGGTACATTAACAGTGACAATTAAATAAGAGTCAATTGCTAAAGAAGGCTCACAGGCCCCAAAATGACAGTACTTAAATATCTACCATTTATTAAGGACAAGGTTACAACAGCAATACCATTAAAGTCAGTATTTACATCGCAGCTAAAGGCTGCCTCCAGCAAGGGGGCTGGGTAAGAACCATGCATGAGCTCCATTTTTCCTTGTGTAAGTGTTTTATGAACACAATTTCACTATCAGATAAGGAATCAACAAGTGCAGAAAACACATCAGAAACCCCCAAATGGATTCTCTGCTGGTGTTTCTTATACCCTGCTGGACATGTAGGCATATTCTTGCTAGGCAACTAGCCTTAACAGCAGAGGACTCTGAAGGTTCCAATGAGCCCAGGCATAAATGATCAGTCTCACTGCTAATGGTAAACACTGCTGACACACTTTTAAAACCTGTTCCAAAACATCTTGGACTCATGGTTGCAAAGCAGCGGTATTAATCAGTATGTTTTATTCCTTGACCAATGATCAGTGATATACAGACACTTTAGCTCACACTAATTCCAGGTCTGCTGGGTTTGACTTTTACAGCAGTCCACTCCACCCCCATAATTTTTGGTCACAGCCTTTTACAACAAATCACTCTTAGTTTGACAGAATCATTTGGCTTTCAACAGCATATAATCAATAGGCAATCAGAATGCACACACAGATTTGAAAGAATTGTAATCACTGCTGAGGGGTTGTGAATTTAAACTATCCTATAAAGCCAACATGAAGTGCCACATATTTTATACATTATTTTTTCTCCCTGATCTTCAGCTATCTGTATTGTATGATATGCATCAATTGAGATTTATACTTCTATTAGTATAAATTTATACCAATTGAATTCTCTGTGAAACAAGAACCATATGAGACAGCCACATTAGTATTGTTTCACATAGTCGTTGTCTGAGCTCCAATCTGGTTACTGAAGGACATAGATCAATAGTGGAAGTATATTTATTAGATTGGTCATTTTACAGCCTCTTCATTTTTTTGAAGTGGAGGAAGTTTTGGCAGTCTTTTCCCCCAGGGGGCATCTGAGTCACAGCTAAGAGAGCATATTATTCACTTGTACACCTCTCTTAGGACATCAAAATTATCTTTGATTTTTCCCTGTTGTAACACACACTTACTGGTTCTCTTCCCTCAGCCAGATTAACTTTTCTCTCATTTATCATTAAGTTTAAAACAAACCTTTCCTCCTGAAGTCAGTAACTCATTCGGCCATGGTGGCAGTAGCAAGACGAGACATGTCAGGACCTCCTCATTGGTCCATTCACACACATATGGGGCTGAATTGGATGAGTACAGAGAAATAATGGCTATTCCATCCAGTAGGCAGGACAACGTTTGCATAGGCAGTCCCAACTTGCTAAGATGCAGAGAGAGGATCATCCACCCCATTAATCTCTTTGGAATTCTTGTCATTAGTCAAAGTAAGAGACATACTTTCTGGTTTTGTAATATTACTAGACACTTGGACCTTAATTTTAGCCCCATTATAGGGACTTCCAGATCCAACACTGGAAACAACAAAACTATTGTAGAGAAGAGTTGTATATAAATTCCCTTTCATTTTCTACCTTCTCCAGTGCCACCACAAAAACATACCCATTTATCTAACCAAGACCCATCTTTAGTCCTCTCATGGTGAGTTGAAACACACCATACTGGAGATTCATAGATCACCTCTTAGCTCTCCAATTCTTTGTCCCCTCTCATATTTTTAAGCAAATATTTTAATTATTCATTTCAATTGTTTATCAAACCATTACTTTGAGGTCAATATGGAATATAATATTTCTTTCCACAGCATTGCATCACATGGGTAATCAAGTAAGTAACTTCATCTGAAGAAATGTAACAAGCAGGATAAACTGATGCAGAATATTTTGTGCTGGTCCTTTGATAATATTAGAAGCATTCAGTTATTGGTTACTTGAAGCTAACCCCAGGAAATGTATCAAGTTCTGTCAATATCCAATTAACTTCATTCAGAACAATAAATACTCATTTAACTACACCCAGAGTAAGCAATACTTAGTAGCTAGTTACTAGAACCTCCAGTGAAAATTTAGGTGTGACTCTTACTGGAGTTGTCTTGTGTGTGATGAGTCATTTTTCTCTTACTTCTTTCAAAATTTTTTCTATGTAGCATTCTTCTTAAAAAGAAGACAAAAAATAGTATATAACAAACAGCAAATTCAGTGAGCAGAAAACAATGACAAACATAGTAGATATCACTCCATCTATGTCAATAATCACTTCAAGTTTGAAGGGTTTAAAAATGCTATTGTAACTGTATTCCATTTGCTTAAGAAAGGAGATGAAAGCCTATGTACATTAAGGAAGTATATGGAAGGAAGATAAAAACACTAAAAACTTCTAAGGATAAAATACAATATCTGATATAAAAATTAACTGGATTAGATTAACAGCAGATTAACCATTACAAAAGAAAAGATTCATGAATAAAAATCATAGCAATTAAAACCATCCTAAATGCCACACACAGATTTAAAAAAAAAGACTGAAAATGATAAGCGGGGAATCATTAAGCTAGATAAACTGCAAGCAGCTAAATATATGTATGATTGGAGTTCCCGAAAAATCTTAAAGAGGAGAATAACAAAAACGAGGGCCGGGTGCAGTGGCTCACACCTGTAATCCCAGCACTTTGGGAGGTCAAGGCAGGCGGAGTTTGAGATCAGCCTGGCCAATATGGTGAAACACAGTCTCTAATAAGAATACAAAAATTAGCTGGGCGTGGTGGTGGGTGCCTGTAAAACCTAGCTACTTGGGAGGGTGAGGCATGAGAATTGCTTGAACCCAGGAGGCAGAGATTGCAGTGATCCGAGATTGTGCTATTGCACTGCAGCCTGGGCAATAGAGTAAGACTCAGTCTCAAACAAACAAACAAACAAAATGAATATTTGAGTAAACAATGGCTGAATATTTACAAATTTCATGGTAACTACAAATTCACAATTCCAAAAATCTCAATAAACTCCAACATGAAAAAATTACAACTAGACACATTAAAGTCAGATTGTTTAAAACTACTGATGGGCAGCTTTAAATGCATCCAGATGTGGCAGCACATGAAATACAGAGTAGCAAAGAATGAGATAAGAATGAAAGCATATTTCTCATTGAAAAAAATGCAATCAAGAAAACAAGTATAGCTTTTCCATGATACTGAAAGAAAATAAAAGCACTGGACCCGAAGGTCGCCATTGTGTCTGGGAAGGAGAGAAAATGGTGGCGGAACCGAGCAAGACCGAAATCCAGACCCTTTTTAAGAGGCTTCGCGCAGTTCCAACCAACAAGGCTTGTCTCGATTGCGGCGCCAAGAATCCGAGTTGGGCCAGCATCACGTATGGCGCTTTCTTGTGCATTGACGGCTCCGGGGTGCACCGCTCCCTGGGCATCCTTCTGAGCTTCATCAGGCCCACAGAGTTGGATTCCAACTGGAACTGGTTCCAGCTGAGGTGTATGCAGGGCGGCGGGAATGCCAAGGCAACGGCTTTTTTCTGCCAACCGTGCAGGCCAGTGATGCCAACACCAAATACAATAGCCGAGCTGCCCAGATGTACCGGGAGAAGATCCGGCAGCTGGGGAGTGCGGCCATGGCTAGGCACGGCAGTGATCTTTGGATAGACAACATGAGTAGTGCTGTTCCTAGTCACCTCCCGGAGAAGAAGGACTCTGATTTCTTCACTGAACACACTCAACCCCCTTCCTGGGATGCACCAGCCACTGAGCCTTCAGGGACCCAGCGGCCAGCGTCGTCTGCAGAAAGCAGTGGCCTGGCACAGCCAGAGCATGGCCCCAACACAGACCTGCTTGGCACCTCACCCAAAGCCTCACTGGAGTCCATGTGTCTGTCAGCTAAAGCGGCCCTTCCTGCCAGAGAACTGAAAAGCTCCATCATTGGCAAGAAGAAGCCAGCAGCAGCTAAGAAAGGGCTGGGTGCCAAGAAAGGCCTAGGGGCCCAGAAGGTGAGCAGCCAGAGCTTCAACGAGATTGAACGGCAGGCCCAGGTGGGAGAGAAGCTCCGAGAGCAGCAGGCAGCCGAAGCCAAGAAGCAGGCGGAGGAGTCCATGGTCGCCTCTATGCGCCTGGCCTATCAGGAGCTCCAGATTGATCGTAAGAAAGAGGAAAAGCAGCTACAGAACCTGGAAGGGAAGAAGGGAGAGCAGGCAGAGAGGCTGGGCATGGGCTTGGTATCTCGAAGCTCTGTCTCCCACTCCGCGCTGTCTGATGATCGAGCCGGTGATCGAGCAGGAAACCCCAGTGAGGGCAAAGTCTTCTTGCTCGCAGCTGGACTTGTTTGACGATGTTGGTACTTTCGCCTCTGGACCCCCCAAGTACAAGGACAGCTTTTCCTTAGGGGAAAGCTTTGGTTCCCGCTGGGATACAGATGCTGCCTGGGGTATGGACAGGGTAGAGAAGGAGCCAGAAGTGACCATCTCAAGCATCCTGCCTATTTCAGAAAGGGCCACAAACCGGAGGGAGGTGGAGAGCCGGAGCACAGGCCTCGAGTCTAGTGAGGCGTGTCAGAAATTCGCAGGAGCCAAAGCCATCTCATCTGACATGTTCTTTGGGCGGGAGGTGGATGCGGAGTATGAGGCTGGGTCTCGGCTGCAGCAGCTCTCAGGCAGCAGCGCCATCAGCTCTTCAGACCTCTTTGGGACATGGACGGGGCTCACGGAGCAGGAAGCGTATCTCTGGGGAACGTGCTGCCTACAGCGGACATTGCCCAGTTTAAGCAGGGTGTCAAGTCTGTGGCCGGGAAGATGGCTGTGCTGGCCAATGGTGTGATGAATTCCTGGCAGGATCGCTTCAGGCGTACGGTGTGACGGCAGCAAGAACTCCACAGATCCCAGGCCTTGGATGCTTGCCTTGTGAAAGCTGGGGAGGATTTGTTACTTGTATGTGCAGTGTGTGCCTGGGGTAGCCTTTGAGGCCACCTGTGAGGGGAATGGTCAGTACCGGCCCTTGTCCTCTGCCTGTGGACTGAGCCCCTTATACCCCCCCCCCCACACAAACCGTGTGTTGACCTCTTGTCCTTCTGTCCTGCACCCACAGCTGCTGCTCACTTGTCCTGCCACACTGGGAAAGGGGTTCCCCTAGGATGGCTTATTCTGGGTCCAGCCTTTCCACAAGTAGGGAAAGCAGAAGGTAGAAGGCTTTTGTGCTGGCTCTAGGGTTCTTCTAGCTCAAGGGCTTGGGCCTCCATCCTCTGGAACCGGGGGAGGCCTGGAAGGAGTTCACTGCAGACCCGTCGTCCTCTGGGGAAAGAGGCTGCGGACTTGTTGCCGCTGCCGTCAGCGGCCTCTTCTGGGTGCCAGGAGAGGGTGAGGCAGGGGAATGACCTTTGTCTGGGCGTTACTAAGGGCTGGGAACTTTGCCTGGTACCTAAAGGTTTCATTCAGGATCAGACTGGAGGCCTGAGGGGTCTCCCGTCTCACCACCACTTTCTACAGTAAACACTTGGAAGATGACTTCCAGGAGTCTCAGGGTCCTTCTGTACCATCTACCGTAGGCCACAGGACCGTCTGCGACATTCTGTGTCCCTTCTTCCCCTGGTTGGTGGCCACGGAGGGTCTGGTCTGCTGTGTGTCAACTCTGGATGCTGTGAGCTGATGCTGGCCAGGGAAGCAGACGGTGTGAGGGGCAGAGGCAGGCTCCGGGGGCTCAGCTCCTTCCTCTGCATCATTCTGGGCTTGGGGGCCTGGACAGCACCAGCCAGTGAGAGCTTGCGGGCCTCACCCTCTGGGAGCTGAGCCATGCACTGTGTCATTCTTGGTGCCATCTTCCCCTGCTGCGCTGGCAGTCTCAGCCCAGTCCCCACCTTTGGGTTGTAGGTTGGGCCCCCAAGCAACACAGACCACTCTTCCCTCTTGCCCCACCCCCAGAGGGACATGACTTTCTTTCTGGACTGTTTGTATTGAAATGAAGTGGTGTCAAAATAAAGCCCCTGCCCGGCTGGCTCCCTGTTGGTCTGAGTGAAAAAAAAAAAAAAGAAAAAGAAAGAAAAGAAAAGCACTGAAATGATTCTATAGTATTTGTACTTAGGGAGATCAGATTTTCAAAAATGAAGGCAAAATAAAGAGCTTTTCAGACATGCAAAAGCTAAAAGAAATTATCCATAGCAGAACCATACCACAAAGAAATGTTAATGGAAATTCTTCAGGCAGAAGGAAATGATACCCAGTAAAAACTACCACTATTCAAAGGAATGAAAAGCATCAGAAATTATGGCTATGTGAGTAAATATTCATTTCTTATTATGTAAATTTCTTTTAAAGATAATCGTTTAAACAGAATGATACCAATGTGTTGTTATTGCAACATAGATATATACAAATAAAGTATATGACAACAACACATAAAGATTGAGAGGGGAGAAATATTCATCTTTCTAAATTGCTCTGCTGTTTCCACTCTCTCATAGGTATCTGGTTTCCATTTTGTTTCTTCAGTTACATTGGCTTATTTGTATCTATCTTGCCAATACAAACCAATCTTAATTAATTAATTTTCATCATAAATTTTAAGGTGCAGTAGATAACTTCCCTCATGTTATTACTGCATGAGAGTGTCTTTGGTTTTCTTTGGTGGGAGGTTTGTTTTTTCACGTTAATTTTACATCAGCTTATGAAGGACTTAGGAAATCTGATTGAGGTTTTGGCTGGAATTACATTGACAATTTGGGTGGAATTGATATTTCTTACGATTTTGACTTTTCCTATTGATATTTGTGTATACATCTTCATTTATTTGCTTTTCCTTTTTTTCTCTTATGAATAAGTTCACCTTTAAAATGGTGAAACCATAGTATTCATCTCCCAGGGTAGGTTAAATTTCTTACAATAGTGAGGGGGGCTATAAAATACTTTTTATCTTTGATGAGATTTACCTCTAAGTTCACAGCATTTGTGGTTGCTATTGAAAAATTTGTTTTTTTATATTTTAAACAATTACATATTTTAAAAACAATTAAACACTAAGTATACTAATCCTACATTACATTTTCTTTCCTGTCCTCACTGATGTGTGTGTCCCCTCTGTAAGGCACTGTGTGGATGTAAATGCTAACTGTGATTCTGGGCCTCTAGTGTTTTCCCGTGAGCAGTTTTGTCTCTCCCTGTGCCTCTACTGCTGTCTTGATGAGTCTGGCTTTCTAAGCCTTGATTGGTAGTAACGCACATTCTCCAAATGTATTGGTTTCTTTTACAGCTATTTTTGAGTTTTCTTATTTTTTTTTCAAGTATATATGAAAATCTAGCTATCAAAGTCCTCACAGCCTAGTGGACATTTTAAGTGGAAAAGTATTGCATATATAGAACATATTGAAGTGTGAGATGCTTCATATATGGACTATCCTATGCATGAACATGGATCTCATTGTTATGTGCAGTGACAGGTTGGAAAGATGCATTTAAGATTTGAGAACAATAAATGACTTCCTGTTTCCACTAGAGTCCGCACAAAATTGAAACACATTAGGGGAAAAAAGCAGATTAAGTTAAAAATATTTTTAAAAAATCGCTCACAGATAATGGCTCATAGGATAAAACATTTAGGGTTGGAGCTCAGCCAGTTTTAAGTTCTCAGAGCTTAAAGGGTCAGGGTCACTAGCTCAAACCTGAGGCTCCTAATCATCCTGGCACCCATCCTAAGGTTGGAATGGGCTGATACTTCGCACTGGACAATTTGTTCGCTGGGAGATGCCCACTTTGCTTTACTTGCCTCATCTGTTCTAATAAGATCCTATACCGACAATGTCAGAAGGTGTCTGATACAATGGAAATACGATGCCTGGCGTGGGAGAGGCAAAGAGCAGTGACCTAGTGATTTCAAGGTGTGGGACACATCAGCACCAACCCACTTAGAAAAAAATGGCCTTAGCAACAATTTCTTTACCAGTAATGCCCTTAGCAAAAACATCCTTAAGAACAATTGCCCTTAGCACCAACACTGTAAAAAATATGCCTATTATAATGACTCTTCTTATTAATGGCCCTTAGCAACAATACCCTTGGCATAGACACCATGAGGAATGTTTTCAGATGAACATTGTTAATATTAACCCTTTTAGCCAAAAGACTCTTAACAATATAATCTAAGCAACAGTAACATTAGAAAAATGCCCTGGGCTGTGACACTATTAGCCACAGTTGTTCTTAGCAACACGTTTGATTGACATTAACATTCCTAGAAGCAATACTGTATCTTACATTAGAAATCATGGCCCTCAGCAACAACCCCAAACAACAATGACCTTAGCAACAAATAGCTAGACATGAATACCTTTACCAAAATGTCCTTTAAAAAATTGTCTTTAGCATCAAGACCCTTAACAAAAATGTCCCTTAGGAACAATGGCCCTAGAGACAACAATCGTAACATAACAACAATGGCCCCTAACAACAATATCCTTAGCAGCAATATCATTAGCAAAGGTGTACCTTACCATCAGAGCTCTAAGCAAAAACCTTAGCATAATTTCCTGTAGCTATAGTGGGAAGTATGCCAATTGCAACAATGCCCTTGGCAGCAATGCCTTTAAAATCAGTGTCCATAGCAACAACGCCCTTAGGAACAATGGTATGTCCATTTACCTCTACAAATTGCCATAGACCTCTGGAAATGGTCAAACCATGGCCTGTTAGTATATCTTAGCAAAAACACTCTTGGAAATAATACCTTTAAAAATCATGGTCCTTGGCAATAACAAAATTAGAAATAAAGTAATTAGCAACAATGCCTTTAGCAAAAATGTCCTTTATAATGGCATTAACAACAGTACTCTTACCAATGGCTTAGTAAAATGCTTTTACTAATAGTGACATCAACTTTTTAGCAATAATGACATCAGCAACAGTGTTGTTAGCGGCAGCACACTTTACAGCAATGTCCTAGCAACAAAATACATGATGTCAATGAATTTAGCAACAGTGGCTCTTGGAGACAATGCCCTGAATGGCAATGCTCATAGAATCAACACTCTTGGCTGGGCATGGTAGCTCATGCCTGTAATCCCAACACTTTGGGAGGCCAAGGCGGGCAGATCACAAGGTCAAGAGATCGAGACCATTCTGGCCAACATGGTGAAACCCCATCTCTCCTAAAAACACACAAACAAAAACATTAGCTGGGTGTGGTGGCTTGCTCCTGTAGTCCCAGCTATTTGAGAGGCTGAAACAGACGAATTGCTTGAAGCCAGGAGGTGGAGGCTGCAGTGAGCTGAGGTCACGCTGCTACACTCCAGCCTGGCAACAGAGCGAGACTCTGTCTCAAAAACAAAAGAAAACAAAAAAAAGAATCAACACTCTTAACATCAGTAATTAGTACCATTAGCAAGAAAGCTGTAAACAACTGACCTTAGAAATGACACTCTTAATAATGTCCTTAGTTAAAAAAAATCATGAGCATCACCCCTATAACCAGTGCCCTTAGCAACAATGCTCTTATCCAAACTTGCTTACCAGCAATACCCTTATAAACAATGGCCCTTAGCAACCAACTCTTTGTAGCAACATCCTAACAATACTGCTATTAGTACAAATCCCCTACAACCAGCACCCTTGACAATAGCCTTCTTGGCCCTTAGAAGCAACGACTTAATCACCAACAATGGCTCATAAAAATAAAGCCTTGGTAATAATGCACTTAGCACTATCCTTAGTAAAACGGTTTTAGCAACAGTCTAGCAAGAGTGACTTCAGAAAAGTCTCCTTACCAACAATGCCCCTTGAAGAAAATACCCTTAACAATAGTGCCTTTAGTCACAATGCCTTCAGCCAAAATGTCCCCTGCCAACATTAACACCCTAGGAACAATGATCTTAGAA